CTCCCTTTTTTGAAGATGGGAACCACATTGGCCTTCTTCCGGTCTTTTGGCACCTGGCCAGAGCACCATGAGCGCTCGAAAAGCCGTGCCAGGAGCCCCGCAGTGACCTCTGCCGATTCCCTCAGCACCCTGGGGTGGAGAGTATCTGGACCTGCTGATCTGAACACATCCAGCCCTTCCAGAAGTTCCCTAACTTGGTCCTTAGATTGCAAAATGATGTTAAGCGAATCCAATTACGTCACAGTAGTTACCTACTATCAGGTGGTGGCTAAAACAACGTTATAACTGAACCTTGTGTGACTTTAAATGAATATGTTCTCTGATAGATCAGCGATGTAATAATGAAACAATGTTAACTGGGACACTGTTAAGTGAGGAGTACCTGTATTGGTCTTCCTTCGTGGCTGAGTTCCCTATCTGAGGCTAGTGCTTCCTTTGTTATTCTACTTTGACCGTAGGGGCTTTGGAGCTGGACCAGTGCTGGGCCTTTGTACTGCACCCAGAACAATGCAGCTCTGTTTTCTGTTGGGGCTTCTAGACACAAGGCAGAATACAAATTGAATGGTGATAACACAAGGTGTCTGAAAAGTTCCTGGAATAGCCTGCATCCTCCAGGGATATTTTATTTCAGAATCCATCTTTTGGGGGTTTAGATTTTGTCTGTAGGAAGGGACCCTGTGTTAATTATAGGGATCCAGGAGGATCCACAGACACTTGGGGGCACGTCAATATTATCAAAGGACCATGGCAGGGAGTGCCGCAGTGAAGCATGGGCCACCTGCTCCATCTGTACTACACCTCAAAACAGACACAACAAAGCTTTTGGTCTTAAGGTTTATTATGAAAAAGAACCTGGTAGCATGGGCAGCTACATCACATCCTTGTGGGGTGTAGTATGCACAGGGTGTGTGTATTGTGCCTCATGGGGCCACTCCTCTGACAACACAGACATCACTCTTGCTGCACTCTCATCTTATGTGCCTAGCCATGGGACAAATCTCTGAATAGACAATGTGCCATAGATGTTTACTTCAAGTCAGAAATTGAGGGGGTGGAATGGTTGTGCTAGCTCTCAGAGCCAGAGTCTCTCTAAAACAGAGAAGTCTGGCATTGTCCCTTTGTAGTTAGAGTAAATACTTTTGTGTGTCAGCCACATTTTTCTGAGTCCCAATGAGATTTTCTGTCATCTGTTTTACTGCATTACTCACAGCTGTTCTAAAAAATGCTGCTGAATGCACAAAATCTTCGGGGCATTCAGGCTTCTTACCTATCTGGAGCTATTACATTGGGCAGAGAAGCATTTGGGATGCAGATGGCTGGATTATGCTATTAAACCTGATCCTGCAAAAAGACCCACTTAAGATGACCTTCTTTTCCATGGCTACTGAAACCATAGGGATTCCATACAGATGGACCAGTTCCCAAATCCTTTAATTCACCAAAGTACTTAAGCATATGCTTAAGTTTCTTCCTGTTCAGCAGTATTTAAGCATTGACTTAATGTGCCCGCTGACATATACTTACATATTTTGCTTATTCAAGGCCTTATAGGTAGATGTTAATTGTCATCTAATTGCATCTGACTGGATCTGCAAGGGTTTCATATACATAAGCAGATTCTGCACATACCCAGAATGTATCCTGTGTACATCAGCTTACCTACATACATAGTCTGATCAGCAATTGCATCGATCATTATCACACACCTTTAAGTGTTCTGCTCTGATCTCAGTGTCCAGCTCTAGCACGTCTTCTGGAGCTCTAGACTCCTTTCGACTATGTTTGCCACCAACAGCACTTATGTCTTTTTGGTCCACTAATGCAAATGAGATTTTGGTCCCTGAAACAATTTTAGAATAGTGTTGGTTAGGAACTTCAGAGCAACTCTTATTGCTTAAAGCCAGAATCTCCCCCTTAATACCATCAATGCTATAGAGCCTTTCTACTCTGTTTGAAGACAAACCAATAATGAGAAAAAATAGCTATAGATCTGGAAAATTTCCCAGCAGCAAGATTTGTGAGATTTTGGGATGGTTTCTGCAAGTGGAAGAAGAGCAAATGCCTCATTGTTTCAGATAGTTAAATTGGGCTGGACAATATGCTAGAAAAACATTTTGTAGGGTACAATCTATCCAAACCAGATTTGACTTTATCTATCTTTTCCATCCCAATTTTCTATATCAAAATACAATGTCTAAAATGATACCATGGTAACAGTACATACAGGCAGCAAACTTCATATACCGCTGAAATATTTCTCTGTATATCTCAAAACCTCTGTCTCGCAACCTAAGGACAAAACAAGTTTTAATTAAAAATGGAATAAAAGGTTTGTACTTTTGCTTGTGATGCCATCTGAACAACTTTAGGAGAACATGTAATGTTACATCATAACATTCTCCTAGCATTGCTATGGGCATATGCAGATAAATTAGTTCCTATCAAGTAAAACGATACGGGGCTTTACTATATAAATGGTGCTTTACAGTAGCTTCCTGTAGGCACAATTTTGTTCCCTGGTACAAGAAAGCTAACCTGCAGCATCTCACTGCTTAGGGAGACTAGGATTCCAGATTCACCTGTTGAGGGGTAGGAGGACACACACACAGGCAGTTATTGCAGAACAGCTGATGCATGGTAAATCCCTACCCCTTTTCATTTCATGGTAACTAATTTGTCTGCATATGCCTTAGATTGCTTACCCTTGTGCAATTTAAGTAGCTACGTTCTTCCTACTTAAAGTCTCCCTTGTTGTTTCAACCAAATACAACATATTCCTGTCCTAAACTGAATTTCACCCTGACAGTCTGCGCAGAGAGTCAGCACAGGAACTATGCCCTGTCCATATTATTCTACTATGGAAACACTTAAAGGCCCTGCTTATGGCCTGGAGTCCCACTGGTCTGTGCCGCGTACAAGCACAGAACACAGAGATGGCCGCTGCCTCACAACAAACAAGCACCTCTTCCTGAACCCTTTTACAAGGTCTGAAAGGAGACCTATGTGGCCTATAAGCCTTATGCTAGGTTTCTACACAGTTGTAATGTTTGCAGATGACTGCAGCTCCCAAGTAGAGTTTCACTGAGGTCAGAAGAGAGCTCCGTGTGAGTGCAGTACTTTGCCTGAATGCTGCTTGTTGGGCTGGGCCTCAAGTAGGGCTGTTGAATGGTGATCTATTAAGTTGTCTGGCATGTCAGGGCAAGGTATGTTTCAGTAGGTGCAGGAAGAAGCAATTCCTTAGCAAAGTCTGAACATCACTTTGTAGAGAAATTTGAGATCCTTTGGAAAGAAAAGCAGTCCATGGGTAGGCAACCCCCAGCACAGGTGCCAAAGCCTGGCATGCAAGGCATTTTGCTTGGCACATGCACTTCAGGGTGGACGGTGGGGAAGGGGACAGGGTTGCACTACCACAACAAGGATTGGGCCCCTTGTGGCTCCCCCACCATCCACCCCTGGCATGCCAACTTCTTACAAGTTGAGGTTGGCAGTGTTTTTGGCACTCTGCCTAAAAGCATTGCTGACTCCTGCATTAGTTAGTTAATGTCTAGTGAAGAGAAGATATGTTATATGGGTCACCCTTGAAGATGACTCCAGAGAAATGCTTTTCATGAATCTGTATGATAAGTACTTCGTGGTAGCTAATGGAAAGCTTGAGTGATGGGTGTTTGCAGGTTTTCAACCTTTGTCTTCCACATCTCATTTACAAATGATTGGTGGGGCTTGGTCACAATCTTTGGAAGAGAGTAAAGGCCAGCCTGACTCAGGCTTGAGAGCTGTCTAGTCTCTAGCAATTCAGCTACAGGGTAACAGTAAATCCTGCATGTATGCAGGGGGTTGGGCTAGATCTTTCCTCTGACCCCATGATTCCATCTCAGAGAACTGCCAGCACAGATGGAGGAAAGCAAGGAGGCAAAAGGGAATGGGAAACTGAAACAGCACTGTAAATGAGACAAGATTGAGAATAAACTGAACAGTGCAACCTGCTGAATATTTGAGATGCCTATACACAAATAACAGGCATCCAAAGACTGAAAAAGACAAACAAGAAGTATTAGTATACAACTACAGCTGTCATCACCAGGTCATGAAGACTTGTTGGGACAAAGTGTAGGCCTGGAAAATAGAAGAGTCGTAAATGTTTGGTTGTGCATCAAGAATGTATATACTTGCCATGAAAAGGGGAGAGGTAAGCTTATTGAATGTCTAGATGAAAATAAAAGGCCTGTGGTAGTGGATGGGGAAACAGAATCATAGAATCATAGAAGTAGGGTCAGAAGGGACCTTGTAGATCTTCAAGTCTGACCCCCAGCCTGGGCAGGAGAAAAACTGGACTCAAATGAGTCCAGCTAGGTAGGCATCAAGCCTCTTCTTAAAGACCCCCAGGGTAGGAGCCAGCACCACTTCTCTTGGAAGTTGGTTCCAGCTCCTAGCTGCCCTGTGAAGTAGTTCTTGCGGATGTCTAATCTAAACCTACTCTCCAATAATTTGTGTCCATTATTCCTTGTTATGCCAGGGGGCGCTAGGGGAAACAGTGTCTCCCCCAAACCCTTCTGGTCCCCCCTAGTGAGTTTATCGACAGTCACCAGGTCCCCCCTCAGCCTTCTCTTGTGAAGGCTGAACAGGTTCAGGTCCCGCAGTCCCTCATTGTAGGGTCTGCCCTGTTGTCCCCGGCTCATGTGGGTGGCCCTCCTCTGGACCCTTTCAATGTTGTCCACATCCCTCCTGAAGTGGGGCGCACAGAACTGGACACAGTACTCCAGCTGTGGCCTGACCAGCATCACATAGAGGGGGAGGATCACCTCCCTGGCTCTACTTGAGATACACCTGTGGATGCATGACAAGGTCCGGTTAGCCCTGCCAGCCATGACCTCGCATTGTCTGCCCATGTTCATCTTGGAGTCAATAATGACTCCAAGATCCCTTTCTGCCTCCGTGCTCTCAGAGGTGATGGCAGAATATTATAGCGTACAAAGAGGGGGTGAATGAGACTTTTAAAAAGTGTAATTATCAGAAACATCTAAAGGATAGAATCTGGTGGTAATGGAGGACTTTTGGTTAAGGAAGTCTCTGCTGGAAAGACAATACAGCAGAACACAGTTACTCCATCATGTTCCTGCAACTCTTGGAGACAACTTTTTGTTTCAGAAGCAGGAAGAAGTTAATGGGGAAGGTTGATAATTTGTTTTTAGTAAGTTTTGGCTATTTAGGGAAGAACTGATTCTAAAGGTGGAAGGTAAATTGGATAAAAGTGATCATGAAATTACAGAATTAACACCTCCCTTTTCTTAGTATGGTAAGAGCAGCAGTATGCAGATAATGGACTTACAACAAACTCTAGGAACTGGTAGGTAGGATTTTCTGGGAAGAAAGTCATAGTAATAAAAAAAGTGTAGATGAGCTGACAGTTACTGAAAGACTGTATTCAATACACAGTGACAAACTATCTTAATGCAAAGAAAAGCTGGGAAAACTGGTGAGTCCATTAGAGCTGCATCAGGAGCCTTTCAATGACCTGACATTCCAAAAGGAATCATACAATAAGTAGAAACCAGGGCACATAACTTAGGCTGCTTATATATAAAGAAATAGCAGAAACCCGTGCAGATAAAATTAGAAAGGCTGAGGTGCAAACTGGTTGTCAGATAGTAAGGGATATAAAACAAGAAACAGTTCTATGAATACAGGAAAAATAAGAAAGAATATGAAGGGACAGGCCCATTACTAAATGGGAAAGAAGAGGAAGTAATGAATGATGCAGAAGAGCCCAAAGTATCTGATGTTGCCTTCAGCCTTCAAAAAGGAGAAATTGTGACTAGCTATTTAATTAATTCATTTTAACAAGGACCTAGAAGAGCAGGTTAAGGAATATTTAGACTGTGTTCAAGTTAGCAGGGCCTGATAAAATTCACCCTCTAATACTTAAAAGAAGAACTAGCCGAAACAATTTCTGAACCATTAGCAATTATCTCTGAGAACTCATAGTGGATGGGGATGGCCCCAGAGGGTGGGAGAAGAGCAAACATAGTGCCTAATTTTATAAATGGAGGAATCAAAGAGTTATAGACCATTCAGCCTAACT